TGACGCAGAGAGGGTTATTCAGTAAAGTGTGAATTGTCGGGTGTGAATTGTCGGGGATTCAAAGTCAAATTAATGTGAATTTACACTTTTAGGCCAAAAGAGTCAACTGAAAAGATAGATGACTTGGATAATTTTTCCAAGTCACCTATTTTGGCCTAAGATTTAAAATGCACTTTCCTGACAATTCACGCTTGCGTATGCTGAACATTTCACACACTAGTGAAATGCTCTGGTAATTAGCTAAGTTGTGGTGAACGGTGAAATTTAGACCGTAATAGACATGAGTGAAACAAATTCTTAAATTTAGCCTTACAGTGGATTTCTTCAAAATTTGCTATTTTGGGCTAAATTTTAAGGTAATGCAAAGACTGTATTTTATTCTCACCCCTAGCAGTTCCTCAAAAACCGGTACTGTATTGTGCCCATGATACATTATTATGTGCAAATATTAAATTATCTCAACACTCAAGTATATTCATAGCATCGTAACTTGTACAGTGGTCTGCAGTGTTTATGGTGCTTATAAGGGTTAGTTTAGGTTTAGGCACGATAACCACTACAGCACTCTACAGTGGGTATGGTAACAAAAGTCTCTTGGTGGCTCTTCCACCCCACAGCATGTAGTGAAACTTGGTTCACACCCGGTGCTGCTGAATTATGTTGGCTCTTTATAAATAACTTTTAAATAATAATATTAGTTTGATATTTACAGTAAAATGAAGAAACCAAGTCATGCCTCAATTCATTGTGGCTCAGTTGTTTGTGTTTTAACTCTCAGAAGAAGTCTGCTTTACGTCAATTTGTGCATGCCTTTAGTTTGGACTTATAACTCATGTTACTATTGACTGGAGTTCTACACACTTTCTACATTTGTATCAAATATATTTATTTTGTTTTCTTTTCCATTCTGCCGGTTCCATTCTATCAAACACACCATCAAGTTGACCTCAATTCACAATGATTTACAGACTTAATTATATAGGTGCTTGTGATATGGGCTCCCAGCACGAGAGAGCACCTAGATGGAGAGCTACTACTTAGTGCTCATAACTCGCCATTTGTTTTTTTTAACCAATTATATTTTAGGGGTTTATGCACTTAACACTTAGGGGTTTGTTCGCTAAACAGTGAATTGTAGTGGATTAAAAACTAAACTGTATAATATGGAAATAAACCTTCACCGCATCTGTAGTCACAATTTAGCAGTTTTAGCCTAAATGTTGCATGTCGGTTTACATTTTATTACAGTGCTGTGTTTAGTGAAAAAAAAATCTTGTTAAAAAATGAATCGCCAATGTGTTTAATGTAATGGAGGCGGGGATCAGTGCCTGCGAACCTTACTGAAGAAGCCAAAATAATTCTAAAACACTTAAACTACTTACAATGGGGGGGTATCTGGTTACACCATGCTGTAGTTGTTGTAGTACCTTTGGTGTATACCATTAATATAATTTGCATGCCCAACAGAACTTATTATAAAAATTAAAACTGGTGAGAATTTAAAAATATAAACAGCACAACCCATACAGGGTTATTTAGTAAACTGAAAATTCAAGGTGAATTGAAAGTGAGTTTCAAATTTAATGTCAAACTAGTTGAACCGGAAAAATGATATCAGCTCAACTTGCAGTTCAACTACTCTGGCCTTAAATTAGAAATTCATTTTGACTTCTCACGTTAGTACAGGTAAATACCTCTGTTAGATATTTGGTTGTGCAAAAAGCTGACATTTCTGCTTTAAATGGTTTCCTATTACAGTGAGGAACAATGCCAGGAGACTCTAGCTAGAATAACCTCTACAATTAGCTGTAATGGTTATATTGGTTAGAGTGTCCCTTTAAATTCAGGTGGTGGGGTGGAAAAATATTACTGAATGGGACCCCTGCCAGCAAGTCCTGTACTGATGAAGGGACAAATCTCGCCTTCCAGGTCTGCAAACATGTTGCCACAGAAACTGGGGTTTATTCACTAAATGATAATTACTATAGGAAAGTTGTTGTGTTCTGAAAAATGGTGCAAAGTACTAAAATTGGGGCAATTGCCATGGAAGCCAGTGGAATCAGCATGTGCATCTATTGGTGACACAACACTTTTAAAATTATTTGATATTTTGAAAAATATTTCATATTTTAATTTGTATTTTATATAAATTATGACATATTTTTGATTATATAATCTGTTGAAAACAATCATTTTAAAAGTTTATCCAAAAATATGAAATAATTTGAAAAGCATCAATAATATTAAATCAAGGCCTGTGTTGAAACCCAGTTGCGTTTACTCACTAAACAACAAATTATACTGTATTGAAAACTGAATTGTAAAATTCAGACTGAAATAGTCGATTTTGACTGAAACTGAGTTGGAGGATTTTTTCTGAACTCGGCTACTTATGCCAACATTTTATCATTTGATTTTCCATCCATTGTAATTTCGTAGTCAGTGAAAAAATGCCTCTAAGTTTCTCATAATATCCATCGAGATAACTTACATTCATGCATGATGCAAGTATTGACTGCGATAAAGGTTTTATTTAATACCAGGTTTATATTCTGAATTCCGCGACTTTTAATCATATTTTTGTTATTGCAAGACAATTTTATTTGTTATTTCACTCATTCCTCATAGCCTGGTCAGTCCATGCACTGATTACATTAATACACGAATGGCGGGATGCTAAGTTGCTAACCTATATTGTAAGTTAAAACGTCCAGTGACAACTATGGCTTAAAACCGTTACCTATCTGTCATATTTTTTAGTGGATCAGTTCCCAGGAGGGAGTGAACTAAATAAAATGACAGACATGTCTCTTCCCGCCAGGATGAAGTCATTGCATACTGCATGTCGGTGCTAGTGTCACATTTGAGGCATTGCCCAGTCATTCACATTCCCCGCTACAGTGACATCTGGGCCACTAGCATCGCAGAAACTAACTCCCTCTATACTATAGCATACAGACTACTTTCCTTTAACACCTACTTCTCAAATCGTGACATCAGGCACATAAGGCTAGCCACCCCCGCTTTCTGCGGCGACACCAGGGACACTTTATCCCAGTTCCTCTCCTGTCTGAGACAACAGGCTAACAATCGTATTGGAAATAAAATAAAAAAATCCCTTCTTTAACAGGAAAGCACACACCTAGCGCTGCTCTGCATTATGTGCACTTCATATGCTGCAGAAAGTTATCAAGTAAATAAGCTGGAAGAGACATTTGCTATTTCACGGCTACATACTGCAGGGCAGAACTTTTCATACACTTCCCATAAACACAATGAACTGAAATGTGTTCAGGAAAACATAATCTTGCCCAATCATCCCTCATCTTAGAAAGCATGCAGAAAAAATATGTTTTGTAGGCGTATACAATTTTTTTTTTTTTTTTTTAAATAAATCAATGGAGTGTCCCTTTAAGGCCCAACACAAAATATAATGGGTGATTATATAGTGCAGAGATGTTGTTAAGGCGGGATGTGGGGGCTCAAGCCCTGGATGTGGGTTTCTGTAGACCTGAATTTCTACAAGTGGTCAAAGAGTAGCAAGATAGCACTTGGATTTTTTTTTTAATTATAAAGGCAACCACGTGATGATTTTTTAAATTTTATTTATTTATTTATAAAATATTTTACCAGGATGGATACATTGAGATTTCTCTTGTTTTCAAGTATGTCCTGGGTCCACAAAACATTGCATTGTTACATTAGGGTACAATATTACAAAAATACAATATACAAACTATAAATATATATATATACACACACATATATAAATTTAACACATAACAGGTAATACATATATTGAACCATCACAGGTGCATTCTGTATTGAGGTATATTGCCATAGATCGCTTAAAAGACTTTAGATTGAATGAAGATTTGACTGTGTCCCTGAGGTTATTCCATAATTGCGGTGCTCTGTAGGAAAATGAGGATCGAGCCACTTTATTTTTGTATTGCGGTATGCTAAATAACACTATAGGCTACGGAATACATGTTTGTGTTCCTGACCCTATAGTGATCCTTTAAGTTGAGTATCAATTTTATAAAATATAAAAATTTTGTGGCGTTTTTACAAGTAAGTATTTGCTTTAGGAACTATTAGGCATGGTAGGTTGGCATGGGTAGACAGGTAGAAGGTGTGCATTCTATGATTAGGTAAATTGATTGGTACTAAGCAGAGACTACATAACACATTAACAAATTACTATGCATCAAAACAAATGCATTTGCAAGCAAGCAAGAACTTGGACCACAACCGAACACTGAACCAAATTTGTTTTGTTAATTAGTATTTACATGGTTTGTATATGTAAATTACATAAAAGAGTTGCTATGAGTATCATATCCACTACAGACCACTTTAGTAGTATGGAGTTCCTTGGTGTAGTTCTGAGGTAAGGAGACAAAACAGTTTAAAAAGGTTTACCACCCACTGGGTGCTAAGCCTCCATCAAAGCCAAAATGGTCACATCAGCTCTGCAGAAACTGGATGCAAATCTCGATTGTCATTCACTAACTGAGAGCGTCTTCTGGGCACTCTCATCCAATGAATGAATGTCTGTGCAAGGAAAATGCATGGAATTGACTTGAACCTCCCAAAAATGTCATTCCACGCTGGATGGTGCTGGAGAAACGCTGCACATACAGGGTCCTTGCACCATGACCACTTCAAGCCATTGAAGTAGTCATGGTGCTTGGAGTAACTCTTTAAGTTCTTGCAGAGTGGTATGCATGATTATTATTAATTATTAATATGTTATTTATATAGCACTATCAAATTCCGCAGCGCTTTACAATGGGTGGACAAACAGACATGTAGGTTGCTCAGATCGTACATACATGTACTATGCTACATGTACACAAGTACAATATCGGGCTTTTGAAAGTTGCGTGTATCTGTGTGTATCTGTTTGTTGCATTCCACAACGGCTGAAACGGAAGGGAGCAATAACAAGCGTTCTACTAGAGTTATGGGACAAAATCAATAAAAATATTTTACAAGTAAGATACACATACCTCCCAATGTTAGGAGCTATGAGATTGGGACCGGTAAGTCGTGCCCTGAGGCTGAGGGGGCATCACCAACCCATAACAGTGGCAGACTTGAAGGGGCATATCTGACTGGCACCTAACCTATAGGACCTTGCAGAGAGTGCTGTTGAAGTGCTGTATGCAGCATTTTAGTGTCCTATACAGAGCAATGATGTGCTCGAGCTTTGCTGCCTTAGAAGAGGTCAAAAAATCAAGACATTGGGATAGGACGCTGAAATGGGGACTGTCCCGTCGAAATCTTGACTTTTAGAGGGCCTGGATACATAACGGCTGATATATAATAACATAAAATAATGCCATCTTTGTCTTCTAGAACCATTTGTAAAACAATCAACCTTTAGTTTCTGAATGGTCAAAATGTACTATTATACTATATCTTTTTTAAATATAATGTTTTACACATTCCATGCATTTAAAGGCTGCATTTTGTGATATTAAATTAAACAATGAATACATCTTACCCACAAACATTTGCATATTTAAACAAACTGTTTGGGGAACAGTAAATAATATCTTAGTTTGTACATTTTGTGGATTTCTGTGTGTTTTAAGAGTTATCCCACAAAATCTGGAAAGAAAACTTCGCAAATAGAATTTTCTTTTTAATTGCTTACAGACTTCTATAATTATGGGCTAGGCTGTAATTGAAATCAAATGCTTTCAACCTTTCTAGAGCGGGGCTAATTTTTCCAAACTGTGGACAATTTTTTACTGTACAGTAAAGAGGCCTCAGTGTGCTAAACAGATTTTACTCAATGTGATTAATCTGAAATGTCATTTTTTTTTTAAATAACAGTGCCGATCAATGAAACGGTTTGTTTGTTTATCTGAATACCATTTTTTATTTTAAGGGTTTTTTTCTTTTAGAAGTTGCAGAAGGATAAATACACTAAACAGTGAGATATGTTGTGTTATAAGCTGTAATCGAGAAAAGGTCAAGGATTCTGTGTTAGTCAAATAGGTTTATTTACTAAACTGATAATTGCACAGAATTGTCAAGCAAATTGCAAATTTTGGACTTAAAGAACTGAGCTGAAGAATTTTTAAAGTTTTGCTATTTTACTCTAATATCTTGTAATTCTTTTGCTAATTCTGCACAATTCCTGATTAAAAACACCCCCCTTTCCCTCCAAAAAAAAACATTTAAAAAAAAATAGTATTTCATAATGGTAAAATGTAAAATTTAAATTAAGGACTGTCTTTCCTGAACAGGGACACTTTGGAGTTACGTACTAAAAGTGCCCCAAAATTGAAAATATGACAAATATAAAAACACTCTTGTGTTAGGAATACAAACATTTATTCCTAAAACTATATTGCTGGAGTGGCTGTTTTTACTTGTCCGGCCCCCCTCAGATTGAGTGAAAGGGTGTTTAACTCCTATTTTCTTCCTCGCCATGCTGTAGGAAAGCGTTTGGAGACTATTGCGCATGCGTGGCAAAATGCCATGCTGCGTCAGTCACCATCTCCTCGTAGAGATGCATTAAATCACACTGCAGCACTGAGATAGGAAGCACCTCTAGTGGCTGTCTGAGTGACTGCCACTTGAGGTGTTACTAGGCACCAATGTAAACACTGCCTTTTCTCTGAAAAAGCAATGTAAACATTAAAAAGCCTGCTGAGAGAGGCTAGAGATTCCAGAACCACTACATTACACTGTAGTGGTTCTGGTGAGTATAGTGTACCTTTAATAGGTGTGAAAACAAAAATTACAGTGCGGTGAAGCACATTTTTTTTTTTTAATATGGAGCCAAATGTATGTCTGGCTGGCTGATTCATTAATCATATTGCTCACTTTATTTGCATTAGAGTCAAGGGCTCAAGGCCACCAGCCAGTTTTACAATGTGCCATATTCAGTATTCAGTCTGACAACTCTCACTTAATGACCCAAAAATGTTGTTCTTGGACACAGACTGAGGAGTTAGTCGACAGCAGCTTGATTGTTATTGAATACCGAGACGAGCAGTTCAAATGCTTGCAATGAGTGACTTTGCAACCGAGTCTGCAGCCGATTGGTCCGATTAAGAGAATTTTTTTCCTAGATTTTTTATCCAACATTGTGCAATCAAGGAATTTTATTTGACATCAAACTACTAAAAAATTATACTTTACTAGACATCAAAAGATGAAATTTGTTAAACTGTGTACTGTTAAAATGCATGATGTTACTCCTAAGTACTAACAGATAGGGGGTGCTTTTTCTACTGTGCAATAACAAAAAGTACAAAAAAGTATATTTCACAAATAACGGAGCACCAGAGAAGCACTTCTGCGTTAAATCATTTTGAAAGTGGTTTAACACTGGAAGATAAGACTGGAAGTTTCAAGGCACCATAACAATTTCATTGGGATTAAGTGGTTATGGTGCCCAGAGTGTTCCTTTAATTTTCGACAAAAAGGATGTTAAATATTAATGGGGAATATAGGAAAGATTCCCTTTTTATGTTTTTTTTTTTGGATTGATTTGTGAGGGCAGTAAGGTGGGCTTTAATAATCAGGATATGTTGCGACCCAGGAAATGTAAAGGGGGAGGCTTTGTGTTGTGTTCTGAAAAGTGTTGCAAAGATGTTAAAGGGTATGAGTCACCAATAGAATGTGCCTGCTGGTTTGCATAGTGATAGCCCTACTTTTAGTACTTTACACCATTTGCAGTGCATTTCGATACATCTCTCTCAAATCTCCCTACACCATTCAACCTCTCTGTTCCTGCTGGGATAGGCAGTGAGACAGTGAAATTCCTGGGACTCCAGAGCCTAAAATCAGATCAATATGAGATATAACAAGTAGGTGACTGATTCCCAAATTAAATATATATTTGCCTAAAACAAAGTTTACTATGATGGGAAATGTCCCTTCAAGAAAATTCTGTTATTGCAGGTGGAGTGAGGCTCCAGGTTCCCACTCAGCGTTGCCGAGGGCCCATCTGATACTCACACACTTCTTTATCTATTGACTGAAGATAGGCAACAATGACAATGGACATATTTGTTTATTGACTGGTCTGGTCAAAGATTGTGGGAAAGAGACACCTGTGAAAATCAGTTCTGTGAAAAATACACATTCTCCTGATTCACCTCTCTTCCCAAGTGTGGGAATGAAGCAAACTATGATTTTCTACAAGCACGTCAGTCAAAAAAAAAAAAACCCTTCGAGGGGGGCACCGATCTAACATTTCAGATCCATAACATTTTTAGTTACTTTAATGACTTAGCAATTAATAGACTTGGGCACAGCGAATACATTTGATTGGGCCGAATTGATTAATCGAAATATAATTTTGTGTCGGCCAATTTGGGATTCGTTCATATGACACTTCGTTTAGGACAAATTTCCTCAATGCGATCGTTTCAGGAAAAAAAACAATTCACATAAACCAAAAGAACATGGAAATAGGCAATCAGGATACGGCAAAATACATAGATAATAATATGAATATTATGTATATCATGTGCAGTACATCGGTAGACGCGTTTTACTGCCATTTTATTCACAGATCAAATGAGAAGAAGTAACCAATAGAATGAAAAAAAAAATATATATATATATATTTAGATAATTGTTAAACATATAATGTCCAAATAGAGAATTTTTTTTCACTGCTGCTCATTTTTTTCCTCTATGTGATCTGGAAATAGAATCATTACTTAGTGGGTGGCCTCTAACCATCTATTATCTTTTTTTTCCCCATCAATCATCTCTTCTTTTTGTAAAAAAAAAAATTTGCACCACAACGGAACCCCAAAATGCAAATAAATAAAACTGTTTGTCCGTTGTCAATTTCGCTTGTGATTCACCCATATAGCATTTTAGAGCTGCTGAATTACCCAAAATTTGGATGACTCGCTATTAGTTTGAAACCGATTGCACAAATCGAGCATTCAATAGGCATAGTAAACACCGTTAAATCAGAATTGCAAAATCCAGATTAAAATAGCCAAGCTGTGACTAAAGCAGAGTTATATTATATTTCCATAAATTTTCCAATTCAATTTGTCAGCTCAACAATTTACAAGGGAATAGAATAGACAGAGATGACTACATTTGGCATACAGCTGTGAGCTATATTTCTGTATGGAAGCAGAGTATTATGGGAAATATAGTCTGCAAAGAATGCGGTGGCTGAGATTAGTTTTTGCTAATATAGAACTGAATTTTATATATATATATATATATATACATATATATATATATATATATATATGTGTGTGTGTATGTATAAACAAAACCTAGTTCTACCAGCATTAAGAATTAATAAAGTAAGTTTCTAGTGCATGGGTCCTCAAACTCCAGCCCCCCAGATGTTGCTGAACTACAACTCCCATGATTCTCTGGCCATCTATGTAATTCAAAGAATCATGGGAGTTGTAGTTCAGCAACATCTGGGGGGCCGAAGTTTGAGGACCCATGTTCTAGAGTTTTGGGACAGTGGCTTTAAATATTCTTTTTGTAGGAAACCAAATTACATACATTAAATTAGCACAAAGATCCAAGATAATATTTGTAATATTATCTTATTGACCCTTTCTTTATACATCGATATATATATATATATATATATATAAAAAATGCATTTAGCAAAACAACTTCATTACACTCTATCAGTATCAGAGGGCTCTCCACTCCTGTAATGTATGTCGCCAACATTTTCTGTAGCGCTGTACAATTGTTTCATTACATATATAAGTCAATTCAACAATATACGTTTGACTTACAGGAACAAGAGGTAGCAAGGGCAATTCTTGGCAGAAAAGCTTATAAGGGAGCTATATGAGCACTGGTGGGCCTTGCTAAATTTTAAAGTATACAAAAATGAAGTTATGGTTCTGATGTATAAGCCTTCGGTTGTTTAATTGTCATGCAGTAATATCATAGGCAATATGTTTTCCTGGATTTGTCACCGTTGCTTTAATACTCAGCCCTTTAGAGGATAATCAATCTCTTGAAGAGGTGATGTACAAGATTGATTATCTGCTGTGAATGTCCCTTATTAATGGTCAATAATTGATGATGTTCAGCATTGGAACACATGTCAGGCTTGCCCCAGAGACATTTGTTTGACAACTGATTGCCAGCCCTCTGGGTCAGTAACCTAGAATGTTTTATTACTTAGATTTTCACATCCCTAGTCTTGTTTTTTGTATCTTGCGCCCAATTTGCTGACATGAGTGTCAGATCCAATTAAAGAGATTGTACACATTAGTTATTTTGTAGCAAACAAAAAGGAAAATGAAAGCATTATTTTATTAATTCAGTACTTTAAAGGGGAAATACATATCATTGTCCATTCCACCATGGTGTTTTGTACCTAGATCTGTGAACATTTAATTAACAAATCATCTAAACAGTTCTGTGCCTTACAAACTGCGCTCCCTGACACAGTGCCCTGTATAACCTTTGTGAACTTGAGTGGGGACAGTTTATACATAACGTGATAGATGTTTTATTGCACTTGTAGATGGTGTATCCGTAAAAGTCAGATACTGCTTGTTACCTGGTGGTAACATATACATGACATTTATCCACAGAAGGAAGTCAAATCAATAATTTGCTTAAAGAATTACTTCAAGCACCATAACAACTACAGTTCACCATAACTACAGTATTGGGGCATTTATTTGGCCTTGCTTTGTGCCTGGTCGCCTTTAGGGCTGGCCTTGTGCAGAGCCAGATCTTGCCAGCAATTCATTAGTTGAGTGTCAAGTGGTCGCATTTAGCCAATGATTGCGATTCTATGCGTAAAAATGTGCACAGAATTAACATTTCCCAGTTTGGAACTCTAGTTTTAGACTGGCTGATGACACCCAAGAGGCGCTGTTGGAGGTGGAGTAATACCTGCAGCAGCAAAGGAGTTAAAGGACCACTATAGTGCCAGGAAAACATACTTGTTTTCCTGGCACTATAGTGCCCTGAGGGTGCCCCCACCCTCAGGGTCCCCCTCCCGCCCTGCTCTGGAAGGGGGAAAGGGGTAAAACCTTACCTTTTTCCAGCACTGGGCGGGGAGCTCTCCTCCTCCGATCCTCCTCCGTTCCTCCCCGTCGGCTGAATGCGCACGCGCGGCAAGAGTTGCGCGTGCATTCAGCCGGTCTCATAGGAAAGCATTATCAATGATTTTCACAGTGAGAATCACGCAAGCGCCTCTGAGACAGCCACTAGAGGATTTGGGGGAAGGCATAACCCATTCATAAACATAGCAGTTTCTCTGAAACTGCTATGTTTATAAAAGAATGGGTTAAGCCTAGCTGGACCAGGCACCCAGACCACTTCATTAAGCTGAAGTGGTCTGGGTGCCTAGAGTGGTCCTTTAATCTCCATATGTGCAGCATTTCACAGCTAATGCTGCATGTACATGCTCCAGACACCATGACTACTTCATATCACTGAAGTGGTTATGGTGCTTGGAGTGACCCTTTACTGCATCTCTTAGGAACTATTGTGATTGGTTAATTTCGTCTTGTGAGCATATAGATGATATACGTGCCAGTCAGCAGGAAATGTAATATGTAAAAAAGGGTAATAAAAAAAAACTGTTTTGGTAACCCTTACATATTTTTTAAATTGTTTTTAGAAAGAGTTAGAGGTGTATTCAAAATTCTAAATTCTAGAGCATTGAAAGCCTAACTAGAAAATTTAAGCAAATATACTAAACTAAACTATAGAATGTAACAAAGCTTTAAATAGAATCTCCCAGTTATTCTACAAACCGCAATGTAGTTTCAAATGTTTACATTTATGGAAACCTTGAAAAAAAATATTCTAAAAATGTTTTAAACAGGATACATTTTCATGTAAGTATTTTTACCTATAATATAAAACAATTACTATTTACAGAACTCTGTAGATAATAAAGGTCCGTAATCACGCAGAGAGTTTAGAAAATTCTCTTCCCAATGTCTTTCTCGGGAAGTAAGCCATTTGTTTTTCACATACACGTATTAAAGTTTTTTCGAGAGTTGTAAAGAGTTTTGCTCTGTTTTTACAAATTACTGTCACCAACCTGCCCCCCTTTTGT